CCACCAAACAATTCACACTGCCGCATGGCTTTCTGGTCTTCCAGAAGTGCCACCAGAGAGTTGCTTAGGGTCCCAGCCTCTCTTTCCAAGTTTGCCCTGAGGCCACTGTCCCCAGCAACTTTGCAGGAGTTGTGTTTTGTCTCGGGTATCAAGATGTCATGGGACTCCCCAGACCAGCACTGCCTTAGACAACCAAGCCTTCACCCAGAGTCAGGACAGACCCCTGACGAAGGAACACCCAGTCTAGGGTGAGGAGAGAGGGAAGGTTTTCTATCTGTGGAGGCACTGCAGCCAGCCCACCCATCCCCGGCCAGCAGGTGTCGCTATCAGCCTGACCAGGGACCTGTGATGCGCTCAGCCACCCAGACCCACCCTAGCAGGCATCCATGGAGTCCTCAAAGCCAGAATTCCGCTTCCCAAGGCTCTGTGACTCATGACATCTCCAAGTTCAGGCAATCCAGGGCCAGGCAGGTGGACCTACTCCTGCCCCTCCAGATGGAAGGCAGCATGAAGTCCTTCAGGCTGTCAGGCCCTAAGACAGCCTCTCCAGCCCCCTGCCCCACACCCCATCTCGTTCTGCAGTTGATGAAGACACAGAGCAAACCTCTTTGCTAGCCATTGCTTTGGGTCCTGGCTCTCCCCCCAGGGCCTCCCTTCAGGCCCAGCACAGCTCAAACAGGAGATTTCAGGAACACGGAGGCCATGAGGATTGGAGCCAGGTCTAGCCCTATCTCCATAGGTGGTCTGTACAGGAGGGAGTGTGTCTGTCTGTCTCCATAGTATACTAGGATGTGCTTGCTTTTAAAGTTCTTTTGAAATTTTTATTTTTATTTATATTTTTGATGATCCCTTTTTCTGTTTTGTTTGGTTTTGGGTTTTCAAGACAGGGTTTCTCTGTCCTGGAACTCGCTCTGTAGATGGCTGGCCTCGAACTCACAGAGATCCTCTCGCCTCTGCCTCTGAGTGCTAGGATTGAAGTCATGTGCTACCACTGCCTGGCTTCCCTTTTTTTTTTTTTTTTTTTTGGTTTTTCGAGACAGGGTTTCTCTGTGGCTTTGGAGGCTGTCCTGGAACTCGCTTGGTAGTCCAGGCTGGTCTCGAACTTACAGAGATCCGCCTGCCTCTGCCTCCCGAGTGCTGGGATTAACTGGCTTCCCTTTTTATCTTTTTTTTTTTTAAGATTTGTTTTATTACGTATACAGTGTTCTGCCAGCATGTGTGTCTGCGCTCCAGCAGAGGGCGCCAGATCTCATTACAGATGTTGTGAGCCACTATGTGGTTGCTGGGAATTGAACTCAGGACCTCTGGAAGAGCAGCCAATGATCCCAACTACTGAGCCACCTCTCCAGTTCCTCCCTTTTTATTTTTAGTGTGCATTGGTATTTTGCTTGCATGTATGCCTATGTAAGGGTGTCAGATCTCCTCTGGAGGAGCAGCCAGTGCTCTTAACTTATAAGCTATCTCTCCAACAATAACCACACCCCTTTTATTCCAGACAGACTTCTCTGTGTAGCCTTGGCTATCCTAGAACTAGCTCTCTATAGACCAGGCTGACCTTGAACTCATGGAAATCTACCCACCAAGTCCCTTGTTTAATTCTTCTATGTGTGGGTATTTTGCCAGAATGTTTGTGTGTCACATATATGCAGTGCCATGGAGGCCATCAGAGGGTGCCAGATCCTTTGAGATTAGAATTACAGATGGCTGTGAGCCACCATGCTTGGAATTGAACCCCAGCCCTCTGGAAGAGCAGTAAGTGCTCTTAACTGCTAAGACCCTATCTCTCCAGCCCCTATTTTAGTTTGTTTGGTCTTTTGTCTGTTTAATATTTACTTTTGGATTTTTAGTTAGGGCCTCTCTACATAGTCCTGGCTGTCCTGGAACTCACTCTGTAGACCAGGCTGGTTTCAAACTGCCTCTGCCTCCCAGGTGCTGGGATTAAAGGTGTGAGCCACCACCGCCCTGCCAGCCCTGTGTCTATGTGTATGGGGTGGGGGTAAGTTCAAGTAACCTCAGAGGTCAGAAAAGAATATTGGGTCTCCCTGAAACTGGATTTTCAGAGTTACCTGACCTGCATGCTTGGGACTCAGGTCCTTTGAAGAGTGGTCAGTGCTCTTAACCACTGAGCCATCTCTGCAGCCCCCCCACACTGTGCCCTCAAAGCCCAACCTCTAGCTGGTCCCCACCTCCTCCAGTTCCACAGGACCGAACCACCACAGGGTCAGGGATCCCAGCCAGACTCTGAGAACCACACTCTGAGGGAGCCAGGAACGGTGAGCATGCAAAATTGGCAAGTGAGAGAGGGTGAGCGGAAAGGCCACTGTTGGAGCAAGCTACCTTCTGGAACCTTCCTCATGCTGTCGGCAGAGGAGCCAGGATGTCAGGTCTCCTGAGAAGGTTGGACCTCTGTGGAGAGGGGGGCTTCCTGCTGCGCCAGGAGGACTTCCTTCTTACGGGACAATGGCGGGAAGGGGGGTCGGAGTGAGGACAGGAGGTGCCCCAAGTGCCACAGAGAGCACGACAGAAGCCGGCTGGCCCTTGGCCCTGCTGGGGACAGACAGCCCTGGGCCACCAGCATTCCAGGCCCATGCCCTCACTGTCTCCACCTGTGTCTGTGTGTCTGTCTCTTAGTCTCTCTCTCTGATCTGTCTTTCTCTATCTCTATCCCTCTCCGTCCTCTGTCCTTCTCTGACTTTCTGTCTTGTGCCATGCCTCTGTCCCTTGCTGTCGCTGTCCCTCTTTGTCTCTCGTCTGTCATGTCTCTGTCCCCCTCTCTGTCTCTCTGTGTCATGTCTCTGTCCCTTTCTGTCTCTGTCCCCCTCTCTGTGTCTCTGTGTCATGTCTCTCTGTCATGTCTCTGTCCCTTTCTGTCTCTGTCCCCCTCTCTGTGTCTCTGTCATGCCTCTGTCCCTGTGTCTCTGTCATGTCTCTGTCTCTCTGTGTCTCTCTGTCTCTGTCCCCCTCTCTGTCTCTCTGTGTCTCTGTGTCATGTCTCTGTCCCCCTCTCTGTGTCTCTGTCATGTCTCTGTCTCTGTTTCTCTCTGTCTCTGTCCCCCTCTCTGTCTCTCTGTGTCATGCCTCTGTCTCTGTCTCTCTGTGTCATGTCTCTGTCCCTGTCTCTCTGTGTCATGCCTCTGTCCTGTTTCTGTCTCTCCATTCCTCCTTCCCACAGCTTGTCCCCTCTACACTGTGGCCCTGGCCCCACTCTCTCCTCGCCACATGAGCAGGATGTGTCACTGTCTTGCAGATGGAGTCAGAGCTGGCAAGAGTGTCCCTTGAGAGGTCTTCAAGGAAAGCAGGCCCCACGCCTGCAGCCCACAACGCCAGGCGCCTGCTGACCCCTCCCCACCTGGCCTTGGGATAGCAGGAAGCCAGGTCAGGGGCTGGGAAGCAGCCCATTCACCAGGCCCGCTGCCCCCCACCCGGGTTAAGGGCCCAGCTTCCCGGGAAGGGCCTGCGTCTTAGAGTCACCTTCCTGCACAGCTTCCGGGCCCTGGCGCATGCTGGGCAAAGGGAGGGGGATGGGACCTAGGCAACCACAGTCCTGAGTCCACACCTGAGCCTCGTATCCTCGAGTCCACTAGCCTTTCTCTGCCTCAGTCTCCCCATTGTGAAACCAGCCTCCCTCCACCTGTCACACACCCTGCCACTGGTGCCTGCTTCTAAGAAGCACCTGACAGTCCACACTGAGTAGGGCGGTCACAGCGGGGCAGACAAGGTTCACCCTGTATAGTTAAGGGTTCTGTTGTTGTGATAAAATACAACCAAAAGCCTATTAGAGGGGAAACTGTTCATTTCAGCTTACACTTTCAGGTCATTGTCCTTCAGGAAGGGAAGTCAGCGCAGGAGCCTGGTGGCAGGAGCTGGTGCAGAGGCCATGGAGGAGCTGCTCACTGGCTTGCTCCCCACAGCTGGCTCAGCTACTTTCTTATAGAACCCAGGACCAGCAGCCCAGGAATGTCACACCCACAGTGGGCTGTCCTCCCATCAATCATTAATCAAAAATACCCCCCACCATCCAGCTGGGAGGTGATGACGCACACCTTTAAGCCCAGAAATCAGGAGGCAGAGGCAGGCGGGTCTCTGTGAGTTTGAGGCCAGCTCGGTCTACAGAGTGAGTTCCAAAACACCAAGAAACCCTGTCTCAAAAAATAAAACAAAAAACAAAACACACCCCCAAAGGCTTGCCTACAGATCAATCTAGTGGGGTCATTTTCTCAGCTGAAGTTCTCTCTTCCCAAATGACTCTGCTTATGTCAAGGCGCCAAACCCTCGGCAAGCTCACACCCCATGGTGAGTGGAGACAAACTTCAAGCATCTGCAGACTTGGCCTCCACGGGGACCTTGGGGAGGTGGTGGGGAGGGAAGATGTCCTGGAGACTGGAGAGAAGGGAGCAGTGGGTGAAGGCCCTGTGGATGCCTGAGGCAGGAGGGACACGTGACTAGCCTTCCTTCTCTGGGTGTCCTCCAGAAGGGTCTGGGCCAGGAGGGAAGCATGGGAGGGACAGTATGCTGATCTTGGAGCAAAGTGGGAGAGGACTCAAGGGAGCGTGTGAGAGAGATTCTCAGAACTCAGTGGTGAGGCCCGGGATCTGCCCCACACAAGTCAAAAGCCAGCCAGCCCCTGACCCCAGGCTCCGTCAGGTCTGCAAAGTCTTATGCAATGGAAGAGCACAGACTTGGGGACAAGTGGTGACTTGTCCCAGACACTGGCACACCAGGTAGAACTCAGTCCCAGGAGACCCCCCACCGCACAACATGGGTGCACGTGGTCCTAGGAGACTCCCTCCATCCAGGACCTCTGCCGCCCCCGTGTGGCCACCTGTGGGATGAAGGCAGGACTCCAGTGAGCCAGGGAGGAGCAGTCTAGGACTGGCTGGTTTCCGTGCACTTGACCCACCATGGTGACCCCAGCCTCTGGCCTCAGCCTTCCCGTCCATAGATCTGGGGCCTGGAACCTTCCCAACGCTCCCCTGCCTGTCTGTTCCGACTGTGTTCCCGGGTCCCTGCCTCACCTCCGGCCCTGCTTCTGCCTCGTGCAGAGTGGGGGTCGGCCTGGGAAAGCCCCCAGGGAAACTCCCATGGAGTAGGGAGGAGGGGGAGGAGAGGCAGGGTCTCGAGAGAGCGGGAAGCTGCCAGCACGCTGCTATTTAAACCGCTTCCCCTGGCAGTCACAAGACAGAGGGGACAGCATGAAGTCCAGCCTGGCCCTCCTGCTGGCCCTGGCCATGGTGCCCTTCCAACTTGGCAGTGGTAAGCAGGGGTGTGGGGAGGGAGGGGGCTTGACAGATGAGTGGGCATAAGGGAAGGGGCTTGGGGAGTGCTGGTCTGGGAGAGGGGGGCTCTAGGCGCTCTCTAATCAAGGTCAGGGACCTGGGGCAGAGGTCCAGAGCCCTGGGGTCTCAACCTAGGGTCGACGGTCAGGACTGGAATCTGGGACCCAGTCACCCCAAGACGGATTAACACTGTTTCCCCAGGCCGGTCCCTCCATGTGGACCCCCCTGAGCCTGTGGTGGCTGTGCCCAATGGCACGCCCCTCCAGCTGACCTGCAGCCTGCCCTGTGACAACGATGTAGCCCGGGTGCAGTGGCACGGCCTGGACACTAACTTGGCCAATGTGCAGACCGTCCCTGGCACCAGCGTCCTCTCTATACAAGGCCTGCCGTCGGACTCAGGCACACGTGTGTGCGTGGGCTCCTGTGGGGGGCAAAGCTTCCAGCACACTGTGCAGATCCTTGTGTACGGTGAGGCCCACTCTGCCTTCTAGGCCGCACCTACCTGGGGGCATCAGAACTTTGCACCACACCGATCCCATCGCCCATCAGGACCCTACCCTTCCCTTCCCGGGTACCTAAGGCGCACATTTGCACTATCACCCCAAACCCTACCTTCTCTGCCTGGCCCAGCCCTGGCCTCTAAACTCAGCCCTGAGCCCCACCTCTCACCCACAGCCTTCCCAGACCAGCTGGTGGTGTCCCCAAAGGCCCTTGTACCTGGACGGGACCGAGAAGTGTCCTGCACAGCCCACAACATCTGGCCCGCAGGCCCCAACATCCTCTCCTTTGCCCTGTTACTGGGCAACCAGAGTCTGGAGGGTGCCCAGGCCCTGGAAGCAGAGCAAGAGGAGGAGACACAGGAAGCCGAGGACACGATGCTGTTCCAAATGACACAGCGCTGGTTGTTACCCTCCCTGGAGACCCTTGTCCCCCCTGTCCTTTACTGCCAAGTCACCATGAAGCTGCCCAACCTGGAGCTGACCCACAAGAGGGAGCTCCCGGGTAAGTCCCCTGGGTCCCGCCTGCCTCTAGGCTCAGCTGCTCTGGGGCTTGGACCAGGATTGCTTGTCTCCACAAGGACATTCCCAAAAGAGTTGGTCAGGGTATCTGCCCCATGAGGCAGCCAGAGGAAAGACAAAGTCAAAAGACGAGGGCCTACTCTGTGCCAGCCCCAAAGGGATATCTCCATCACTTTCTGTTTCTAAATTCTTGGCTTTGCCAGGGTCAGACTATGCTGAAAGACTAGGATGGGGCCAGCACTCAGTAGGTGTCTTATAAACTCTGTCAAGTAGACTCAAGGCAGGTCCCAGCACTCAGTAGGTGTTCTACAAATGCTGGCTGAGCAGATTCATAGGATTTGGCACGCCATCGGTGCCTTATAAACACTGACCAAGTAGACTCATAGGAATCCGCACCCAGTAGGTGTTTTATAAACAGTGGCCTAGCTTTTAATCCCAGCACTTGGGGAAAAGAGGTAGGCGGATCTCTGAGTCTGAGGCCAGCCTGGTCTACAGATCGAGTTCCAGGACATCAAGGGCTACAAAGAAACCCTGTCTCGGAAAAAAAAAAAAACTAACTAAATAAAATCAGCATCCTAGTAGACTTAATAGGACACAATACCCAGTAAACTCTCTGCCTGTGCCGTCACCTCCTAGTCCCAACTGCTCTGACGCTCCATGTCACTTCAGCGACAAGGGTGGGAAGGGGGGAGGAGGGTGGCAGGCTCTGTCGCCAGCCTGGGCTGCAGATGACAAAACCGAGGCAGGAGAGGCCCCGGGCCACAGGAAGGACTTCTGTCTGTTTGCAGTCTTGCAGAGCTGGACCTCACCAGCGCCCTCCACCTCTGCCAAGCCCTACACCCTGACCTCCCCACACACCACTGAGGCCAGCTCCACCGGGCTCCCCAGCTACACAACCCTGCCGCCTACCCCTGCTCATTCCACGCTTAGCCCCAGGACTCTGAGCTACGCTGGAACTTGCCGTCCTGAGATCCTTCGGGACGAGGAGTCACATGGCTGGCAGCTACTCTGCAAGGCCCCCTGTGGCCCTGGAGTGACCGTGCACTGGACCCTGGCTCCTGGCGATCTGGCAGCATACCACAGGAGGGAGGCCGGGGCCCAGGCATGGCTAAGCATGCCACCCCCAGGTCCTGTTCCTGAGGGCTGGTTCCAGTGCCGCCTGGACCCTGGGGGACAGGTAGCCAGTCTGTATGTCTCCGGTCAGGCGTTCTCAAAACCCTGTAAGTGCTGGGGACCGGGGAGGGATGGAAGCATGGATTAAAACACTATTTGGGGCCAGTTGGGACTGGGCGGTTCAATCCCAGCACTCAGGAGGCAGAGGCAGGTGGATCTCTGTGAGTTTGAGGCCAGCCTGGACTACGGAGCGAGTTCCAGGACAGCCAGGGCTACACAGAGAAACCCTGTCTCAAAAAAAGAAAAAAAGAAAAGAAAAACAACAAAACACTAGTTGGGTTTCTGTGCCGTGCCTAGGCTAAGTTCCCCGCTAAGCTCAATATGCTTTCCCGGCTGCAAGCCCACTTAGCCTTTGCGGATCCTGGGGGGGGGGGGGGGTTAATGTTTGTTTCTCATGGCAGAGGCTGGCCTCAAACTTGCTGTGTAGCTGAGACCCTGATCCTCTTGCCTCAGCCACCTAAGTGCTGGGACAGCACCCACTACACCTGTTTTAATGGCTGGATTTGAAAACACATTAACTAGTTGGGAGTTCACTTTTAAACCATCAGGGCCTACGTACAGCTCCCTCAATGAGGCCTGCAGGCCCCGGGTCTCATGACAGCTGTCTTCTATTCTCTCAGACGCCATGGTCGCCCTCTGGCTCGGCAGCTTGGCGTTGGCACTGCTGGCGCTGGCCTTCCTCGCCTACCGCCTGTGGAAGCGCTACCGATCAAGGCCTCCCCCCCAGACGCCACCTCATGCACACGCCTATGAAGCTCCATTGTGCCAGACTAACGGGGTCGGAGAATGACCAGCTGCCGGGCCTGGGGCAGTCAAGACGGCAGAATGTGGCCCCTCTTAAGGTCGTCAGCTCTTCCCAGCTGCTGGCCCAGAGCAGAATAAAGGTCCCATATCGGGCCACTGCTGTGTCCTGTCGTCCTGTGAATCCCTCAGACCTACAACCAGGGTCCCTGGAAATGGGCGTCTCTACCCCAGAACATCTCCGTAGGCCCGAGCAGGAGGCTGGGAAATGCCTGGGCTTCACAAGAGACACCCAATGGCCTGGAAAAAAATAGTACTTCGGGCGGGGGGGGGGGGTAGCCTGGTCAAACTCGAAAATGGGGTGTGAGGGACGGGAGAGACACAGCTGTGCAGTTACAGGAAGAGCAAACCCCCCTGGTGGACAGAAAGGGTAACTAACAGCCTTGGGGAGAAGGGAATCTGGTGAATGCTCGCTCGAGGAGCGCTAACCCTTTCAGAAGCAGACGGAGTGAGGCCAAGCCGAGTACAACGTCTGACACTAAACGCAGAAAAGGGCCTGAACCCCGCTCTCAGCCCTAGATTCCTAGTGGACCAAGGCCCACACACGCTAGGCAGGGTTTCTCTGGAACCAAGGAGCCTCGTTGCTAGGCGACCGTGCTTATAAAGACTTGCCCACTACCAAGATGGCGCGCGATCGCGCTTCATGCCAGAAACCAAGCCCTTCCTGGGGGACCATTTTGAAGTCTGGCAAGCTCACGACTCCGGACTGAAGCTAAGAGACTCAGTCACGGAGCACTAGAAGAGATGCAGAGAATGCCAGTTGGGGCGCAGAGGGAAAGGTAGCCTGCGCCTGTCACTGACAGGACTCTCTCAGAGAGGACGCGGCTGCCTCTACCCTTAACAAAAATGGCCGCCCAAGGAGCGTGCCTTGTCGCGCCGTGAATTATGGCAGTGCTTCCGGTCCCGCTGCCCTCAGCAAAGATGGCGGCAGTGGAGAAGCGGCGGCCGGCAGTAGCCCCCGCGGCCAATTTCGCGGACAGCGGCCGGACGTCGGTGTCGCAGGCGGCGGCGGCAGCCGAGAGCGAGGAGGACTTCCTACGGCAGGTCGGCGTGACGGAGATGCTGCGCGCGGCCCTGCTGAAGGTGCTGGAGACGCGGCCCGAGGAGCCCATCGCCTTCTTGGCGCACTACTTCGAGAACATGGGCCTGCGCTCGCCAGCCAACGGCGGCGCCGGGGAACCCCCAGGCCAGCTCCTCCTGCAGCAGCAGCGCCTGGGCCGCGCGCTGTGGCACCTTCGCCTGGCTCACCACTCGCAGAGGTGCGGACGATGGCGGGCGGGGTGCCCGGACTACAGCTCCCGACATGCCCCGCGCGGGCTCAACCTGCCGCCGGCGCGGGGCATATCCGGGAGTCGTAGTCTGTCCTCTTTTCCGGAGCCTGGTCCGCTTAGAGCGGTGTGGCATCTGAATTACAGCTCCCGGCATGCTTCGCGTAGATTTCGGCCGCTGTGAAGCGCGGAGTGCACTGGGAGTTGTGGTCCTGGTAGGGAGTGTTGGGAGTTGTAGTCCATCTATCGCTGGAGCCTAAGGGGTTTTTACTTTTGAGCCCAGTCCAGTTTCTCCTCGCAGCCCAGGGTTTTGGAGGTCAAGAAGCCTAGCGACGACCTGGCCCAAGATGCCATCCCTGCAGTCAGAGCATAAATAGCTGCGGCGCTTGTCCAGGAGGTGGGCAGCCTGTGTTCTGAAGCTCCGCCCTGCAGAGCAGCCCTGAGATGGCACCCGCTGAGCACAGGCTGGTCTAGAACCAGGTGTCTAGAGCCAGGGGTGAACCTGCAGGGAGGCCTGGAGCTCAGCGGTTGCAATCGCTTGTGTGCCCCAGTGGGAACAGTTTCCGGTGTAGAAGATGTGACGGAGGGACACTTTCCCATTGCTGATCAGTAGCCGTCATCGACCAGCAAATGACAAAGCCGGTGTCTGGGGTCTCGGCGTGGAAGTGGCTTTACAAAGGGTGCATGGAGGAAGAAGATGCTGGGCAGCAGTAACCCGGCTTTGCCCAGGGGGGTCAAAGGCCAAGGATCATCCATTCCTGCTGGTCCCCCCGACCCCGAGTCCCAGAAGGAGTGAGTGAGCGTAGGGGTGGCTCTGAGCAAAGCAGACGCCTCTGCACGGGGTGGGGGTTCAGTGTCCCCAGATGATGGCCAGGAAGGGAAGGATGGGGCATGATGGGCTGATGTGGCAGGGGAGAGAGGTTACGGACAGATGGTCGGAGGGACACAGGCACAAAGGCTGGAGACCAGTGTTCTGGAAGGTTCCTGGTCACCTGGTGAGGAACCCAAGCAAGAGGGAGGACGGAGTCTACAGCTGAGACCGCAGTGGGAATGTGAGCAGTAGACTGGGTGTACCAGTGTGCCGGCTTCCCAGACCATGGCACAGAGACTTATAGTTACGAGGGCCTGACTTCAGCTTAGGCATGCTTCTTGCTAACTCTCATTGCGTGCCCTGTTTCTCTTCTGAGCTCTTTACCTTTCTCTCACTCTGTACATCTTACTTTCCTGTTTCCTCTGTGTCTGGCTGGCGTCTGCCTGGCTTCTGGCCCAGGCATCTCCCTCTCTTTCTCCCTAGTTCTCTCATTCTTTTGTTCCTAGGTCTCTCCCACTTCTTCTCTCTGCTCCCCAGCCCCCCAGTCGCTCTGTTGCCTAGCTGTTGGCCATTCAGCTTTATCAGACCAATCAGGTGCCTTAGGCAGGCAAAGCAACACAGTTAACACATTAACAAATGGGGCAGAAACACAGGAAGCACATCTTTACGTATTTAAAGTAATATTCCACAACAGAAACACAGGAAGCACATCTTTACGTATTTAAAGTAATATTCCACAACAGAAACACAGGAAGCACATCTTTGCATAGTTAAAGTAACGTTCCTCAGCACATCAGCAGAGGAGCAAGCACACACAGGTCTGCACCCTGAGGTGCCCCTGGGAGGGAGGGAGGGACCAGGAACAAACGGCTTCCTGGGACGTGTCTGCAAGAGAGTCTCCCGTGGATGAAAAGCATGAACTGAGTGATTTAACAGAGAACCGCTGTCTGTGAGTTGAAGTCACAGCCTCACGTGAGGACCAGGGGCAGAGGTTGTGACCATGTCACTAGGTCTCTGTCTTTCACCACGAGTTTGGCCTCTGTGCCACCGTCCTAACCCTGCCAGCTCCTGGGCTCACACCTGCCCACTTCTGACATGGCCTCGTCTTAACCAGCTGGAACCATGAAAACTGTGGTTCTGTATGGACATGAACTTGGGGTCACTGCGTGTTGGTGGTGGTTGTACTCTTAGGTTCTCTGGGGGGCCCGTCACCCAACTCCCAAATATTATATCACACACAGGAGGCTTATTCTTACTTAGGAATGCCCGGCCGTAGCTTGACTTGTTTCTAGCCAGCTTTTCTTAAATTACCCCATCCACCTTTTGCCTGTGGACTTTTTCCTGTCCTTCCTTCTGTAATATCACTTTCACTCTTACTCTGGGCCCCTTCTTTTCCCAATCCTTCTCTTGTTCCTAGAGCTTCCTTTTTCTCCCATTTATTCTCTCTGCATGCCGCCTCCACCTGTCATTTCTCCTGCCTTGCTATTGGCCATTCACTTCTTTATTAGAGCAATCGGGTGTTTTAAGCAGGCGAAGTAACACAGCTTCACAGTTAAACAAATGCAGCATAACAATTCCACACATCCTTGCATAAGAAACAGATGTTCCACAGCATACACAAATGTATCACGTCTTAAAATAATACTCTACCACAACTGCTCACCCCAGGACCTAGTGTTACACCGCTACTGTGTGTGTCTGTGTAGACAGTGTGATGATGTCTGTGTAGACAGTGTGATGATGTCTGTGTAGACAGTGTGATGATGTCTGTGTAGACAGTGTGATGATGTCTGTGTAGACAGTGTGATGTCTGTGTAGACAGTGTGATGATGTCTGTGTAGACAGTGTGATGATGTCTGTGTAGACAGTGTGATGATGTCTGTGTAGACAGTGTGATGATGTCTGTGTGGACAGTGTGATGATGTCTGTGTAGACAGCGTGATGATGTCTGTGTGGACAGTGTGATGATGTCTGTGTGGACAGCGTGATGATGTCTGTGTAGACAGTGTGATGATGTCTGTGTAGACAGTGTGATGTCTGTGTAGACAGTTTGATGATGTCTATGTAGACAGTGTGATGATGTCTGTGTAGACAGCGTGATGTCTGTGTAGACAGTGTGATGATGTCTGTGTGGACAGTGTGATGATGTCTGTGTAGACAGTGTGATGTCTGTGTAGACAGTGTGATGATGTCTGTGTAGACAGTGTGATGATGTCTGTGTAGACAGTGTGATGTCTGTGTAGACAGTGTGATGATGTCTGTGTAGACAGTGTGATGATGTCTGTGTAGACAGTGTGATGATGTCTGTGTGGACAGTGTGATGATGTCTGTGTAGACAGTGTGATGATGTCTGTGTAGACAGTGTGATGATGTCTGTGTAGACAGTGTGATGATGTCTGTGTAGACAGTGTGATGATGTCTGTGTAGACAGTTTGATGATGTCTGTGTAGACAGTGTGATGATGTCTGTGTAGACAGTGTGATGATGTCTGTGTAGACAGTGTGATGATGTCTGTGTAGACAGTGTGATGTCTGTGTAGACAGTGTGATGATGTCTGTGTAGACAGTGTGATGATGTCTGTGTAGACAGTGTGATGTCTGTGTAGACAGTGTGATGATGTCTGTGTGGACAGTGTGATGATGTCTGTGTAGACAGTGTGATGTCTGTGTAGACAGTGTGATGATGTCTGTGTAGACAGTGTGATGATGTCTGTGTAGACAGTGTGATGTCTGTGTAGACAGTGTGATGATGTCTGTGTAGACAGTGTGATGATGTCTGTGTAGACAGTGTGATGTCTGTGTAGACAGTGTGATGTCTGTGTAGACAGTTTGATGATGTCTGTGTAGACAGTGTGATGATGTCTGTGTAGACAGTGTGATGTCTGTGTAGACAGTGTGATGATGTCTGTGTGGACAGTGTGATGATGTCTGTGTAGACAGTGTGATGATGTCTGTGTAGACAGTGTGATGATGTCTGTGTGGACAGTGTGATGATGTCTGTGTAGACAGTGTGATGTCTGT